TTTTGGCAGAGCGAGAGAGAGACGGCAAACAACAAAAAAGGTAAATAGCTATTACTATTTGTTTTGTTAGATTTGGCACCAAAAATGGCAAAGGCAAATTTTGGCAGATGATATAGCAGCCCATTGGAGGGCCAATTTTAACCCACCTGCTATATTTTGAATTGGTAGCCCATATGGCAGGTGTGTTGGAGATGCTCTAAATTGGTCAACTTGCCTTTAACGAACTGTTGAGGAATTTTTAATAGCTACTATTTCGTTTTGTGGCAAAACTCCTTTGTAAACTGTACCACAACCTCCTCGACCAACAACGTGCACTTAATTGACACAATCTGTGCAATAGGGCACTTCAATCTCCTTTAAGCTTTTATTGTTTTCATCATCTTTTGTTCAAAGAAGATGGATATCAAAGTGAAGAAAATTGGCTCTTGTTAAACATTGGTTGTCATGATTTCAACTTCGAAAGAAGCATAAGTTATTGGGGCCAAGAGTTAACTATCAATTTCTTCCTAATGCGAGATTATTTATATACTCTAAAACACGTTGTGTGAAGATTTAAGCTCTGAACCTTGCCTGATTTGATACATGATAATGACCGTGTGCTCAAAACACTTGGGTTTTAAGAGAGGGTGTAACTTGAGTTTTTATATAGACAGTTGACATTGCTCTTATATCTACACTTACATGAAGTCCTGTGCTTATGGTTGATGAATTTCCACATTTTTGTTCAAGCTACAATAGGTTTTATGCGCATGTGGTAGTCCTTTATAATAAAAGAGCTAGCAGTTCTTTTGTTTATAATATGAAATGAAACTGCTGCTCTTTTGTTTATACTGCAGATAACTGGACTTGCATTCTCATCGATGGATTCTGATGATATCTACATACAGGGTTGATTATGAGGTGCTTGCTCTTGAAATCACTGGATCTAATTTCCTTTTTTATTGTTTTTCTTCTTTTATTTCATAGTTCATACTTTGAAACTTCAGGTGAGCTATAACTTAATAATCATGAAATAGTAACATTTTTTATCTTTTCATTTCAATAAATGGTTCTTCAATTTAATTGAAAAGTTTGTATACATTGAATAGGGAACCTCTGTTCACCCCCCACCCCAGCATGCGCTCATGTTTTCCCTAAAATAGGAGACTGGATGTCATTTTTGTATGGAAAATTGTCTTGGGACATGCCAAGTCCATGTACCTATATTATCTTGAGGGCATGGGTGGAAACGCTCTCGTCGTGTATGGATTTAGTGATCAGCGTTTAGAGGCACGAGTACATCAGTTTTTCATGCCAAGAATTTCAGAAACATAATATTTGTCTAGTGAAGGGGTTAGTGATATTGATTCATAGTTCAGGTGAGACCTGGTATCAAGTGCCTCTCTTTTTTGCCCAAACAAAATAAATATATAGTGGCAATCTGAATGGACTATTGTATTTGTGTTCTTTCAGATGCGTGTTTAATTCTTAACACTGAAATAAGTGTCATTTACTGATTTTTTGTGGATAGTGTAAAGAAAGCAAAAGGGAATGGTCATTTAGAGAAGATTCAAACTTGCTTAGATTAAGTAAGGTGTGAAAATCTTCTATAAAATACACCATGAAAATGCTAACACCACTCTGAGCATCGAAGAACAAGTACGCTAGTATCTATTGCGGCGCAAAAAAAATCATTTCTGCCTCATTTTAAAGGTCATATAGCAATGCAACTCAGCCTGAGGTTGGTTTGTGCTCATTTGCTCGGCCCAAAACTTGTGCGTATTGAACCAAACAAAACCAGTCCAGGTGGACATCCTTGTTGGTATTTTTAGTAAATTGATTATTTGATTAATGAAAAAGTGTATAATTTAAACTGATATAATTATCATATCGGAGATCCAATAGGGTGCATATCAGATATGGATTAATAAGTAAAAGTTTGTTGGATTAATTAAGCAAAAATTTGCCGAATTATCCGATCCAATTAGATCTGATCGGATCGCCCATTTTGGTTATCCGATGGTCCATATCTGATCGCATGAATGTGGGATTTAAGGATGACGTGATCTTTTTTCTCTAGGATGACATCGTGAGGATAATGGCTATATAAATTGAAGCTAACATGCCTTTGTTATAGTTTTTGTGTATATTAACAGCAAAAACTATATTTTTCTGCCTTTGTAAAAGGTTCAAGGCTTGATACCTGATGGAGGTAAAATACAGCCACAGTTTTGGGATTTCCACTTTCTGTACTACACTTTCATTAAGTGGAAAAATGGATAATCACAATTCATGAATGTAAAAAATCTAGATTTGAGGTAAAATATAAGAAATTTGAAAAAAAAAAAAAAAAATTATAAAATTGCAAATGGGTCATCCAATTCCAGTACCACAACTCTCGCCCACCGCCGACAAACTATCAGCAAACCTTTTGCTTTACAATCCATTTCCCTAACCCAAATATCATTCATTACAACCAAATTGACGCAAACAAGCAACAGATTTCAGCATCAAACTCCCAATCTCAACATGTATAAATTTTTAGCTGTCTGACAACTCGTTCTCCGGCAAGTTGCTGCTGGGATAGTCCTACCTGCATCAATGAACAATTCCAGATGAGTTGTGCGACTTACCTCTTGCAGCAGCAGCTTGAACATTCACAACAAGTCTTCTCAAACCAAAACCGAGGTGCTGTATTTGTAGGAGAATCAACTAGAGGTTTTCTTACCAGAGTGCATATTTTGTCCCCAAACTCATACCACCTCCAATTATTCACCAATCGGCTCAATGGGTCGTTGCCAGCTGAGCTTGGCAAGAACTCGCCGTTACAAACCCTCAATTTGTCGGGAAATTGGTTTTCAGGCGAAATTCCAGCGAATTTGTGCAAGAATGGGACGCTAAGGGCCTGTTTGGGGGATGCTCCATCTTGTTTTGTGCAACAATGGGACGCTAAGGGCCTGTTTGGGGGATGCTCCATCTTGTTCTATGCCCTTCCCTACAGTGCAAATGGACACTATTGAGGACACCAACTTGTTTGGTATGGGCTGTATTGTGTCCAACAGTGCTAGAACAATTTCTGTTTTTGGGCCAATTTCCGGAACAAAAAAATCATGTTCCAAAGTGTTCCCAAATTATGGTCGGCCCACTATTCACTGTAGAAAGGAGAACAATAGCCCAAAAACAAGGAATTCTGAGAACACAATTTAAAGAATCAGTGGAACATTTCTAGGGTTCTCTCTAGACGACTGAGGCGATTCATAGTGTACCCTTTTGTGTCTGAAGTTTTCCGAGATCTAGGGTTGAAATCGACACCATTGAATGAAATACGAAGCTTCTCGGCAACGTCTTCTTCTCACCGGTGAGTTCCAAACATGCATCTTCTTCATAAATGGAGTCATTGTGTTCTGTCTAAATTTCTGTTTTGTATAATGAAGATCGGGCTTCTCTGTGTTCCACTGTGTATGCAGATCTGAAGATAAACTTCCCCTTTGTGACCTCTGCGTTTTCCGGCGAACCCAAGCTTCGCCGCTGCTCTCTGCACTCTCGGATTCACGGGCGAACCCTCTGGATATTGAGCTTTGATTCTTGTAGTGATCTATATATATCTGTATTGTAGTGAGTCGTAACTGTATTGTAGTGATCTGGAAATTTATTTATTTTTTGGATATTTTTCTGAAACACCTTTTAGATATGTATCTGTATCTATGTATATTATATATATATCTTAAAGTTGGAACAAAGTTGATTTTCAATACCCATTACCAGAATGAATTAAAAGCTCGCCAAATTAGTTGAAATATTTTAACGGTGGTATATAAGTTTGTTTATGTATTCATTTTATTATTATGTTTGTTTGTAGAAATATAGAGGGAATTAAAAAAAAGAAAAGAAAAAAGTAGTGAAGAAAGGAAATAGTTTTTAACTTCTGTTTGGTAAATTGGTAGAGAATATGGATAACAATGAGAAAAGCAAGAAAAACTTTTTAATTTTACATATTGGTTTATCTTTATTTTTTTGGAAATCTTCAAGAAGAATAGGATGAGTAAGATAATTAAGTACATGATTTATTTTATTTTTACATATTTTAAAAAGATTTTTACTACAGATTATAATTAATAAGTTCTACAATTTATAATTTAAATTGTCAAGAAAAGTTATACAGCATTAATAAGTTTATTATGCAGCATTAATAAGTTTTACAATTTATAATTTATTTTATTAGTTTTTATAATAAACTAAGATAAATTTTTAACTATATATATATATATATATATATATATATATATATATATATATATAAAGTTATATCAATTGTATATTAAAATTATACAATAATTAATTTTAACTTTATACTTAATAAAGTTAGAAAAAATGTATTCAAGAAAACATTATTTTAAAACATTCTTAATCCAACATATTTAATTTTTTTTTTTTTCATTTTGGTTACACTTTCAGACTACCAAATATGTTTTGTTCTCATATTTCTTATAACAATATACATTACCAAACATGTTCTATCATATTTTTGTTCCAAAATTCTCAGAGTAAATTTGGAACACCAAACATATTTTGTTCTCATTTCAGAACATCACACTACAAAACACTTGGTCTGTTTTAGCATAGAGTAGTACACTACATCACACTACACTTCCCAAACGGGGCCTAAAGGTGCTTCATTTGGATTCGAATTCCTTGATGGGGAATATTCCAGTGAGTCTTGGCAAAATGCAGGAGCTTGCTTCGGGTACAATTGCGGAACAACCGTCTTTTTGGTGAAGCTTCGGAGTCGTTTTGGGGTTTACCACAAGTATATTAACTTGATATTGGTTAGAGTTAATTTTGGACATATTATCACGAATGATATCTGGTGCATCCAATCCTTCAGTACTTTACATTTCAAACAATCAATGTTCGGATGCCATACCCACTGAAATTGAATCATTAGGCAAGTTAGTTGTGTTCTCGGGCAGCGATAACAAGCTAGTTATCGCTTGTTATCGCTGCCCGAGACAAAACTAGTAGCTTGTTATCGCTGCCCGAGAACAAAACTAGTTTGCAAGAATTTTCCCGGTTAGCTTGTTATCGCTGCCCGAGAACACAACTAACTTGCCTAATGGTCCAATTTCAGTGGGTATGGCATCCGAAAATTGATTGTTTGAAATGTAAAGTGCTGAAAGATTGGATGCATTAGATACCATGTGTAAGATATGTCCAGAAAATGAATTCTTACCAATATCAGGCAAATATATTTGTGATAAACCCCAAAACGACCCAGAGCTTCACCGGAAAGACGGTTGTTCCGCAATTGGACCCGAAGCAAGCTCCTGCATTTGCCAAGATTCGCTTGAATATTCCCCATCAAGGAATTGGAATCCAAATTAAGCACCTTCAGCGTCTCATTCTTGGACAAATTCGCTGGAATTTTGCCTGAAAACCAATTTCCCGACAAATCGAGGGTTTGTAACGGCGAGTTCTTGCCAAGCTCAGCCGGCACCATTGAGCCGATTGGTGAATAATTGGAGGTGGTATGAGTTTGGGGACCGAGCTATGCTCTCTGGTAAGAAACCCCTCTACTTGATTCTCCTACTAATACAACACCTCGATTTTGGTTTGAGAAGACTTGTTGTTGATGTTCAAGCTGCTGCTGCAAGAGGTAATGTCGCACAACTCATCTGGAATCGTTCATTGACGCAGGTTGGACTATCCCAGCAGCAACTTGCCGGAGAAAGAGTTGTCAGACAGCTGAATTTGTACTGGACTGGTGAGTCGGCTAATCCAACTCAGAATCGACCCATTGAGCCTATTTGCTCGGAAGGTTAAAAGATATTTGAGTTGACTCAGCCTTGCAAAGATCTCCGGAATTGAACCCACAAATGGGTTGAAACCTAGTTCCAACGATTAAAAATTCGGGATATTGCTGAGAATCGCAGCGATTCTTCGTGCAAGACCGAGAGTTTCGAGTGGCTGGAAAAGTCCACCGAAGATATTCGTCACCTCGAGATTGAGGTACCTGAGCTCCGGTATGTTAGACAGCGTGTCCGGAAACTGACCCACCAGGTGATTGTTGGCTACGTTGAGATGGGTAAAAGCTCTTAATGCTCGAATGGAGGGACCAAGCTATGCTCTCTGGTAAGAAACCGTCTATTTGATTCTCGTGCAAATTCAGCGACTCAAGAGATAACGTGCACAACTCGTCTGCAATCGTCCCAACCAGCTCGTTCATCGACACGTTGAATCGTTGCAGAGACTTCAGGTTAGACAATCCCAGCGGCAACTCGCCGGAGAACGAGGTTGTTAAACAGCTCAATTTGTACTATACTGGTGCTGAAAATCGACCTATTGAGTCTATTGCAAAATATGCATATACCTAGTGCAAAGTAGACCAGTATCAAGAACCCTAGAAATTTGTTTCTTGTGACCACGTGGTTAATTCCTTTTTGATCCAAGCTGTGGTGCAGACCCATGACATTAGGTCCTTCTCCCAGAATTCATGATCAATTGTTTATCCAAGCTGGCGCAATCAACAAAGGGACAGAGTCCATGTCTGCCACTGCCGGTTCTTGGTTACATTGCACCAGGTACGACTCCTTGGTTCCATGACTACTCTTTTCCATTTCTTTTTATATTGAAATTAATTCGTAGCTGAATTGTTTTTATGCATTTTACGGTCTGTGTAATGAATGTTGCATCCTATAGTTAAAATTTTTGAACCTCTTCCTATGGCAGGAAACTTATTTGTGCTTGCGTCTCATATCATTCCTGTGTGTAAACTGTACCTGTTTATATACAAATACAGTGTTTTGGTTTTTCTGAAATTTATAATCCAATACCCAACCTTTCCTATTTCTTGTACAAAGTAATTGCTCTTAAACAAGAATATGCTGCTTAGCAGATACCATTGCATATGGTGCAATTGCCCCTAAATCAGTAACTGCTTTCTTATGGTTTTGAATTTTAAATAATGAGTAGAGCTTTTTGGGATGTGTAGTTTCACCAATTACATAGAGCAAATGCAGGTTTGAAATGTTAATTCAAGGTTATGTTAATGATTCATACTCAAGTTTGACAATCTTCATCAACAATGCAATATCTTTCACTTGGATAATCTGATTGTTTATTTCTTCAACTTAAATGAAAGTTAATAAGTTTTGACATGATCTGTTCTATTTGGTCTTTAACCTATTGCATAATAAGTGACATTTATAGCTTTGGGGTTGTCATTCTGGAATTAGTGACAGGTAAATGACCAATTGATCCTGAATTTGGGGAGAAGGACCTAATGTCATGGGTCTTCACCAGCTTGGATAAAAAAGGAATCGACCATGTGGTCAATCCCAATCTCGATTCCACTTACAAGAAACAGTTTTGCAGCCTGTACTGCCAATTAATTTCCACAGAAAGATTGTATTATTAAAGCATAAACAATCTTGGGATACTACATTTATGTACTACAGCCATAAATTATATAAAAGTTCACTGTTACTATCAGATGAGTAGATTGCACTCTACTACTATAAATCTTTCCTACCCTTGCCCTTTATAATTACAAGTTCACTGTTACTATCGGATCAACATTATATTTATTATTTATTATTATATATTTATTGTTTTGTAATTCAATCCAGTTTTTCTTGCTTTGACTCGAGATCAACCTCTTGTAAAATTTGCAATTTATTTGTTCATAGAAAAATAAATATTTTTACTTGGCTGTTTTCTTTGCTCCTGAATGTGAAATTTGTACTTCAGATTTTTTCATATGGAATACAATTAAATCTGGGATTGGGATAAACCAGGCTGTTTTTTTTCCCTCTCTTTTTCTTCAAGTTCTCTTTTATGAGAGGGAGTTAATTGCCTTTTTTTCAAGTGCCTTTTGAGGATCACATTCTGGTTCTGTAAGAAGGGCCCTCATATTTTATGCACATAGGGAATTGATTGTTGTATTTAGTACTTCTGCTTAGAAAAATGAGCCCTTTCAATGAGAATGGTTATAAAATAGGAAAAATCGTTTATGTATATTTCGGTTTAATGCTTAAAAAAATTCTATGCCTTCTATCTTTTCTTTCATTATTATTAATAAGAAGTAATTGGATTCTTAATCTTCAGCTCTGTGGGTTGACACTTATTTATGTTTTTTAATTGAGTTTCCCTCCCTGCTGCTATGATCGTTAGTTTAGGAACTTAATACAGATTCTTTTCCATTTACTTTATGAATTATTTTTTTGTGAAAATTCTGCATAGTGTACACATTATTGTCCGTCTCTTCAGTCCTTCAATTTATCATGTATGTTGCATTCTGGTGGATGCAGTGGGTACAAATCGAGGGTGGACCACCGAAAGCAGCTTGAATTAGAAGCAGCACGCAAGTCTGGTCTTGTTCCAGTTGAGGTTGATGAGGATGGAAACGAAATCAATCCTCATATTCCTAAATATATGTCCTCTGCACCTTAGTAACTCAATGCAGAGAAACCGGTACGCTTTCTTTTCTTCCACTGCTTTTGTACATATTCAATGTGTTATATTGGCTGGAAGTAGAAAATTAAACCGTTTCTCTATTTTCAGAGTCTAAATCATCAACGAAAACAGTACTTGGATTCAAATACGAAAGCATACTACGACAGGGGGACAGAAACTTTTCAGGCTAAAAAATATAGGAAAGGTGCATGTGAAAAGTACATGAATTCTCTCTCTCTAATTCTGTGTGTCTTTTGTGTTCTTTACTTTAAAGATTGTAAAAAATACATAGCAATATAAAAGACTGAATCAGATTAGAATTCAATGATGGAAGATTTTAGGGTAGTGTTCAGTTTGTAGTCTTACAAACTGAAATTGCATTGCTGCAATCATGCCTTGGGAGGGAAGGGGGAAAAAAAGAAAAGTAAGATAAGGGAACTTAGTGTGACAGGGTTTCTTGTAGGGATATATCTAGTAAGTGGTGTCTCATATTATGTGATAAGTTCAAATAGCATAACATAAGCTATGATGATTATGGAACCTTTCACATCCTGATGCATTAGATTACTTCTTCATTTAATTCTTTTTTTTTTTACTCATGGCCGATGAATAAGCTGCAAAGCTACATCATAACCTTATAGGCAATGTAGAAAGAAATTGTTGAGGAGTATTTGTTAAAAGAAATTTATTCTATTATCTATTTGGAATAAGATTATTGTATAGCGTATATTCAAATTTTTTTTTTTAAACAACTTATTTTAACACTTGCAGTATATATGCTTGAGCATAGAGTTCTCTCTCTCTTTTTTCCTCTTACCTGTTGTCCCTGGGCCTCAGCCCAATGTTCTATACCACCAAAGGCAGTGGGAATCCATTTGTGGCAGCAACTCATCATTTTTCTTTTTAGTTTCTGTCTTTATATAAATGTGGGAAAACTATGATTCACTAACATGAACTTTGTATGTGCCCTTTGCAGCTGTGGAGCTATGACCCGCAATGCAAAATTTTGCCCGGAAAGGCGTGGAAGGTGGAAGCAATGTGGACATATGAAGACATTGTGACACACGAGAAGATAGAGAAATTGGAACTGGATTATGATGGCAAACGTGACTGTTGGAATGGTTATAATGCAGCAAGCTATGCCTATGTCATTGACAGATTTGAGGCAAGGGTTGAATCCAGGAAGAGCTATCTGAAGCAGCAATATCTCAAAAGATCTGATGAGGAGAAAAGCAACCAGCAAAATGGTTCCTGACATGGATCCAAATTATAAATTATATAGTGTGAACATCTTTGAAGTTCAAGCATTGCCTCATATTTTATTATTATTGTGTAAGTGCTTAATATTGATTTTGCTTTCCTCTAAATTTCAGGGTGACCATCAAAACAGATCAAGTAACCAAGCTTTGTTGTTTCGGCATTTGAGATGTTGAAGGCCCTGATGGGAGTAGAGCCTTAGACTGCCTGTAGGATTCAGTAACGAAAGGAAAGACTGGTTCAAGCTTTTGCTGGAGAGGCTGCAGGCATATATAAAAACAACTAGTAAGCACAAAGTATCATCTTTTTCTATTTTTGCTGGTGGTGTTAGGTAAATTGTAATTCAGCATCAGTTGCTCAGGGTAACGTCAAATGCTTGGACGCCTCCTATTGAAGGGATGGTGAAGTGTAATGTTGATGCGGTTTTTAATCCATCTTTGCACATTGGAGGAGGAGGAGGTGCAGTTTTTAGAGATTTTTCGGTCTGGGTCTGCAACATCAATGGAAGCTATATGTCTTAGAAAGGCCATGGAGTCGGCTCTAAATGCGAATCTTCGGGCTATTTGGTTTGAAAGTGATTCTAAAATAGTGTGTGATGTGGTGCTACAAGATGATGGTCAATGTCCTGTGGATATTCAGGCCATTGTTTTTGATATCAAATAAGGGCTGCGGAGATTTTCCTCGTCTGGTATTAGTCATGTTCGTCGGCATGGCAACGAGGTAGCCAAATCTAGCATTGTCCGGACTCTGGAGTATGACAGTATATATATATATATGCATTGTCCGGAGTATGACAGTAGGTAGTTATTTAATATGCTCTCCGGTGCTACAAGATGGTCAATGTCCTGTGGATATTCAGGCCTTTGTGATGTCGAGCTTCTGCATTGTCCTGAGTTTATTCAAAATCTAGCTTTGAAAGATATTTCTCAGGCGTCGTGTTGAGTGTTATTTTTTGTGTACTTTGCCAGGATATATATATCTATATATATGCATATACATGTGACAACTAGTAGGTAGACGACAGTGATTTATATACTTAGAGAGAGAAATAGAGTTTTATGTAAATGTTTATAAATTTTAGATCTTTGTATAGATAATAGATTTAACACAATTAATATTAGAGCAAGAAATAAAATTTATAAAATGAAAATTTTAAAAGTTACTATTTATTTACTACCATATAATAATTTTTCACTAATTAGACGGTTTCTCTGCACAGCATTGTGCTGCCAACTCGATCACCTTCACCTATGCAAAAATGGCATAATCTTTCAACAACAATGGATGCATGTATGTTTCAATTGACAAATATTGTATTTCATGAAGCACGGACATTTTTCCAAAGGAGTCGTACTTTTGTTGTGTTCGTGTTGGACACTTGTCTCGGTCTCTGTAAATAAAATAATTTTTTTATTATTTTGGACACTTTTTTTTTTCGACAAAATTTTGTCACTTTTTGGGCATTTAGCCTACACTTTCAAAGACACAAGTTTACTCGGGAAAAAAATTGACATTATAAGAATGGGAGTGGAGTAACGAACGAAACATTAAATGATATTTATACATTTAAAATAAAAACACTATTCCGACAAAGTAATAGAATAAGTGTACATATGATATAAAAGTTATTACAACGCTCAATAGATGTATATAAATAAAAATTCATATTTATATAAAGCTGTGTCCAAGTCATACCTATTTCCTATTTTTTTAAAATTTGACATCTTAACTTATCCGTCTTCATCTAATTATATGTCTGGTTATATAATTAGATTTTAATAAACAAATAATGTGACGTGTCCATCAAATAATTGCAAATCTACGTCATGTCATCAATAATGTATTTTTATTGCCAAAAGTACTTGCTGGCAGAATGATTCAAAAATGTACTATATGAAAAGTTCATAAATGCTGTGTTTTTTGCCAATTCCCGAATCCCTCCTTGGCCATGGCGAAACTTGATTAGCCAAGTTAGGATCCACATTATTATCAAAAGAAGGTGGTGGAGCACTACAACGGTTCATACAGACGTTAAAGCAATGCAGCTCTATCTCACCATTTTTGAAGCACTCATGACTACATTTTTACAGGCATGAAGCTGAAGCTGCTTCTGTTAAATGCTCAATGAGCATCAACATCGCTAGCCCCACCACCAAAACACATACTCTCACGATTTTCTTTTCCATACCTTTATTCTCTTCAACAATCACCTCATTTTACCTTCCCCTAAGGCACCACCTCAAGGCATTATTTATAGGTCAAATATCCATAAAAAAAAAAAAAAATTGGTCCCCAAGCTATTGTTTCACACTATTTTGATTAATAAGAAAAATAAACATAATTTATTGACAAGAGGGTATCATTGTCTTTTTATGCAAATATGGAGTATTTGCACCAAATGGATATTAAATATTTATTTTTTAAAAAAATTATATTGATTGCAATGAACATTAGTAGTACAAGAGAAACAAATTGACTTGATAACTCATGGGTGTACCATGTGGGATAATTCCTGAATTTTAATTTTGAATTACATAAATTCATAAAGTGAGTTTTTTTTGTTTTATTATTATTATTTTTTGGCAGATTCATAATGAGTTGAGTTTATAACAAATTGGCTATTCATGAGCCAAAGATTATCGCCACATGCTTTTCCATTCTAGGCTTTACTGCAATATGTTGGGACCCACAAGGATATAGAAATTGGATTAACTCATTTGAACGATTCTCCCCACTTTGAAATTTGAAAACACTTTTCTCTTCACAATAAAAATTGCTTTTCAATTTCCACCAAATAAAATGTACATTTAATCGACTAACTCACCCTTCATTACATATTAATGGAGAATTTTTTTAATTTATTTTATTTTCATAGTAAAAAATAAACTAAAACTGGGAAGTGTGAGAATAAAATTTTCAATATAAAAATAAATAAATAAATAAAAATCAAAGAGCATATATTCTTGCATATTTGTTCGGGCTTCTCTAATTATAAGGATTAAAAAAAAATTAAAAAATAATAAAAAAAATCAAATGAGGAGCATCTTCTTCTCTAGAGCTTCTCTAACAAAAAAAAAAATCTAACACCCTCAACAACTCTTGCCAAGCCGGTTGTCCATCTCCGGACTTGACAATGAGTTTTTTTCGATTCCTACTGCTGTTCTTAGTGATAGAGCTTACCGAAATGGCAGCAACTCCCTCAACAACTCTTGCCAAGTCCGGTTGCCTCCATCCCGAACTTGTTCGAGGTATATCTGTCTGGTCGGGACTCAATTTTTGACGCCGTTTCTTTTGTTGTTCATATTTTCTCATTTTGAATCTTTTTCCTTCCCCCTGTGTAGGCCTTTACCCGTGTCCGGTTGCCTCCACCCCGAACTTGTTCGAGGCATATCTGTCTGGTCCGGACTCGATTTTCGACGTAGTTTCTTCTGTTATTCATATTTTCTCATTTTGAATCTTTTTCCTTCCCATGTGTACGCCTTTACTCGTCGTCCTAATGGTTTTTGAATTAAGACTCTAATACCAAATTTGTAATGACCCTAACTGATGCCAAAATTTTAAAAAAAAATTCGACATGACCTTCGCTAAAAATCGTCCTATAACAACTTATTTAAAAGTATTTTTTAACCTGTCTAAACACAATAAACATCTAACGCATTACATTCCATGGTGGTAATCCAATCAGATGCACAGACCGATTATGACACATTTAGAAGCCGATTCCCTCCTTCAACTTATTACTGCAGCTGCAGCACTCCGATCTTCAACCAATCAGATGCACAGACCGATTATGACACCTTTATCTTACCGCTGTGGCAATCTTGCGTGTGCCGAAAGGATAAAGAATGGTAAGATTGCCACAGCGGTGGGGGCAACCGGGCTTGACAAGAGTTATTGGGGAGTTGCTGCAATTCCGGCGAGCTCCATCACTAAGAACAGCCGTAGGAATTGAAGAAAACTCATTGTCTCTGCTTCCTCCTCTCTATCTAGTGTAACGTACCAGTCAGCCTAAAGGGATTCCTATTTATGAAATTTAATTTTTCCTATATTTCATTCTCTCCTTCTCCCTCCCGTTTCAACAATTTCAATCTCGTGATGGATTGTACCGTCCAGAGAGTTAACGGTAACAACAAGAGTTTGAAGTCGCCGGAAATTTTCCAAAGTTGACGGAATTTCAGAAGTTGTTGAACTCTTGGGTATGTCGGCCAACTTACACTTGAAAATCGTCGGAGGGAGGGAGGAGTTGATGGAGTTCCTCTGGAGATAACTGAAAGAAATAAGGCGGCAGAGCAATTCTGGAAACGCACCGGCGAGGCATGAATATCAATTTGTTGTGCTTTATACTTAGAATCTGAAGTGATGAAAGCACTCTAAAAGATGGTAGGATCTGATTGACTTGATAACTCATGGGTGTAGCATGTGGGAGATAATTCTTCAATTTTAATTTTGAACTCCAAAAATTCATAAAGTGAGTTTTTTTATTATTATTATATATTTTTTTCTTTTTTGTCAAATTCATAGTGAATTGAGTTTATAATAAATAGACTATTGATGATCCAAAAATTATCTCCACATGCTCCTTCATTTTATGCTTTGCTATAATATATTGAAACTAAGGTCACAATCACTTTGATTATATATCTATCATATAGTCAGTAATTTGAATAATCAATTGACATTATTCCTGAATAAGAGGACTAAAGTCACGTTGATTCTCTCTTTCACATTGGTTTAATTGGAATAATTGATTGAGAAATTGAAAAAGTGTAAATAATAATAATAATAATAATTGTATTAAGAAAGACAAAAAATAATATTAGTAAGAGCTTCCAACTCCACCCAAGTCATGTCGCTTCTTTAGGGAGTCTCTTTCTCTTCTCAAACGCTGGGGTTACACCCAGGTCATTGTGGAGGGGGATTGCGAGTTGTTGATGGCCCTTCACCCCCTTCTGATGGTTATTCTGAAGGATGTTCATTCTTTTTTGCATTCTTGTGGGGGTGCCTCTCTTGTTTGGACCCCTCGTAAAGGAAACGTTATTACTCATCTTTTAAGTAAAAAGGCTTTGAAGTCAAATGTTGTAATTTTGAGTGGAGCATAGGGCCTAAGTGGTTGTTAAATGCTTGTTCTTTTGAATGTTTTCCGCTTTCCGGCTAATGTTATCGGCTTTGTTTAAAAAAAAAAATGTCCCTTCCTTAGTTACAAGTCATTCACAAGATGGACCCACTCATAGTGTCATCATGTGAAAGGTTTGGCAAGTTTTATCCCTCATTTGAAGTATTCTCTCCACTTGAAATTTGAGAACACTGAAATAAAATGTACATTTAATATAATAACTCACCCTTCATTAATTTAATTTAATTATTTATTTTATTTTCATAATAAAAAATAAATTCAAATTAATAGAAATTTCAATATAAAAAAAATATTTAAAAATCAAAGAGCATATGTTCTTAGATTTTTTGTCGAGCTTATCTAATTATCAAGGAGAAAAAAAATATCAAATGAAGAGCATCTTATTCTGTTAAGCAAGAACATCCAAATTGAGGAAGCATCCAAAACTAACTGTACATTCATTGTGTTGCCTGTTGTGAACTCCACCACCAATTTTCTTGTAGGTATGAGTGTGCATCCATTAGGCACAAGACACAGCTGTGTTTATAACTCATGGGTGTACCATGTGGGAGATAATTCCTGAATTTTAATTTTGAATTACAAAAATTCAAAAAGTGAGTTTTTTTTATAATTATTTTTTCTTTTTTGTCAGATTGTTGAATTTATAACAAATTGGCTATTCATGACCCATAGATTATCTCCACATGCTCCTTCATTCTAGGTTTTACTACAATATATTGAAACCCACACGATATAAAAATCGGACTAAGGTTAATCATATTGATGTTATCTGTCACATTGCCGTAATTTGAATAATCAATTGAGATATTATTCCTCACTCAGTAGAAAAGTAAAATGAAAAATAAAAAAATTGTAAAAAAAAAAAAAAGA